TCTGAATAGTACTGCAGCGAAATCTGAAGAGGGCAACAGTTCGCTGGAATGCGAACAGATACGCGACGATGACGCGTCCATGCAGCAGAGCCTGTACGAGGTGTCCGAGGTGTTCCAGGCGTTGCTGCAGGTGAACAAGGTGAAAAGTAACAACAAATTGGTGAGTCCGATAGAGGATCGAAAGTCACCCGAGAAGAACGAGCTGCTGGGTGCAGATATCTTCAGGGAGGCTATAGACGTTAGCTTTAAGGACACCCTGACCCCCGAGCAGAAGGAGCTGGTCTTCAAGAGCTACATGTATGTGTACCCCCGTTCGCCGGTCTATCTCTCCACCAGGGACATCTGGATCGACGAGGAGGCACCCGGTGCAGAACCCAACAACAATAAGTCAGCTAACGGCAGCACGTTCGATGAGGATAGAAGCAAAGACCAGGAGTACGATCGAGTGTCCACCTCCGTGGAGGTGGACTCGAACGAGAGCATCATGGAGGATGACTGCGAGGATAAGCCCAGGTCGATCAGTCTGTGCGAACGGGAGGTTCAGTCCCTGAAGAGCGACGACAGCAAGAGAAGGAGTCTGTCGGAGTCCGACATGCTCGCTGCAGCCACCGCGATCCTGAGCGAAGAGGACTCGCTGATGGATAACTACATCAGGAAGTTGGACAGGTCCAAATCCATGGCGGAGGAGATATCGAGCAGCGGGTCCGGGATCAAGTCCGACGAATCGAACGAGCTGCCCGTTAGACAGCTGAAGTACAGCGAGAGCAGCGTCACATCCGGCGTTACAAAGTACTCCTCGGTCAGCTCGACCGTTTACTTCGACCCTGAAGAGGAGTCGAAACCCACCCCGTCCGTGTACCACTCTCCCTGCGTTTCGACGACGAAGGACGAGGACCAGAAGAGTTTCGCAGACTCCAACACGGCCACCATGGACTCTCAGAGTCTGGTCAGGATGAGCAACCTATCCTCTGATGACCTTGAAGTCGACTCCTGCAAGACTGTGGACTCTGAGCAGTCGGCTTCCAGCTCCGTGAACGAACTGATGGAATCGCAGTCCGGCTCGTTCGGTGAGAACGGGGTCAATTCCGGCAGCTGTTCCGTGTACTCGAACTTCTCGAACGTGTCCTCGAACGTGGACGACGTTACACGGACATCTGGGGTCAGTATTGACAATTCCGCTCGGAAGGAGAAGAGCACGGATTCGTCGGACAGCGAAGGTAGCGACGATGTCTTCGTGGACGAGAACTCGGAGGATGCTAGTTTGAACAAGTTTCACTCGTTCTTGAAGAAGATGGTCTCCAGAGAGGGGACCGGGCAGCCTCGCGTGAGGAAGAATATGTCGGTTGCGCAGAAATTGAACGCGGAGAAGGTTGATGAGAAATCGAACAATGTATCTACTGCGCCGATAAAAATGGTAAACATGAAGAAAGTGGATAAGCATCCTCTTCAGGAACCGAGGAGGAAGAGGATGCAGATTCCTGATAGGTGTAGACCAGGTAATTTGTGGGACTTTTGGGGACTTTTGGTATGTTTGACGTTTTTATTGTTGGAATTTGTGGTTAGTCAACTGCTTTTAGAGTTTCAACCCTGAAGATGTGATACAATTTAATGTTTGTCATGGGGAAGGTAATAGGAAAATTGAGATTTGCAAGTTTTTGGTTTGCTAGATGACTAGATTACTGGTTTGTTAGATTCTTAGACTTCTAGATTTCTAAATTCTTATATTTGTCATCTCCCTAGACTCCTAAATTGCTACATTTCTATGTACCTCCACGAACTTGAAAATGTCTAAACGTCCAAATCCCTAGATTGCAGCATCCTAGATCCCCAAATCCGTTTATCCACAATAATAACGAAATAAGTAGCGATTGCATCGATGGTAATTATACGCGCACCGTGTTCCTGTCAGATGTTCCGCTATTCCTCGGCACGAACGGGTGTGCAAACAATAATTTACAATGGGCACCGATAAAGCAGGGCTGTGTACCCGGCAATAAATCATCATCCCCGAAGAAAGAGACCGCCCGGCGAACTTTCGCGAATGTGTGCGAAGCATTAATTGCAGAAATCCGAGCACGAGATCGGCCGCGATAACGTTGCCGCCGTTTGCGTATCCGACTGCATCAATATTTATTAACCGTTATTAATTGCGACTGAATTACGCAACGTAGCCACGCGTTGCTCCTGCGAAATATCAAGTCTTAGACATTTGTGAAATCGACACGAATTTGATATAATGAGAGATCAAAGAATATTTATAAGGTGTCTCAAAACTAGTGTAGGTCTTTGAGCTGGGGTGTAGTTGACGAGATTCTGATTGAGATTTCCCTTTGCAAACATGGGGTTTGAAGCTTCGTTTTTGAATTATTAAGGAAAAACACGGACCAATCAAAGCGCGAGGACTATGCATGCGAGAGTGACAGTTTCGAATCTAGCGGTGCATGGTAATTCGACGCGTGGTGATTCCACGCGTAGAAATTCAACGCGTGATAATTCGACGCGTAGTAATTCAACGCGTGGTAATTCGACGCGTGGTAATTCGACGCGTGGTAGTTTCACGCGTAGTAATTCCACGCATGGTAATTCGACGCGTGATAGTTCCACGCGTGGTAATTCGACGCGT